TGGAGGTTAGAGGAGGTTAGAGGTTAGAGGAGGTTAGAGGTTAGAGGAGGTTAGAGGAGGTTAGAGGTTAGAGGAGGTTAGAGGTTAGAGGAGGTTAGAGGAGGTTAGAGGTTAGAGGAGGTTAGAGGTTAGAGGAGGTTAGAGGAGGTTAGAGGAGGTTAGAGGAGGTTAGAGGAGGTTAGAGGAGGTTAGAGGTTAGAGGAGGTTAGAGGTTAGAGGAGGTTAGAGGAGGTTAGAGGAGGTTAGAGGAGGTTAGAGGTTAGAGGAGGTTAGAGGTTAGAGGAGGTTAGAGGTTAGAGGAGGTTAGAGGAGGTTAGAGGAGGTTAGAGGTTAGAGGAGGTTAGAGGTTAGAGGAGGTTAGAGGTTAGAGGAGGTTAGAGGTTAGAGGAGGTTAGAGGTTAGAGGAGGTTAGAGGAGGTTAGAGAACTGAACTGTAGAAGACACCAGTGTCAATCACACCAATGACATCACACCTGAGCCGCCAAGTCGTCCTTCCAGTATCTGATGACCCGATAGCGCTGTCCCGTACTGGTTCTGGCACTCTGCAGCTCCACCACACACCAGCTGTTGCTGCTCCTCTGCAGACAAACATGATTTAATGACAAACAAAAAGAATTAAAACATCTTTAGATAAAGGATTCAAGGAGACTTTACTGTCATCACATGTGGTCCATGAGATGTATTCTCCAGTTACACACATAAACAATTGTAATACAGATACAGTGGATGAAAAACAAAGAGAAAAGTAGAATGGAGTAAAGTAAAAACAGAAACAAAAAAAGTTCAACCTTTCAGAGACTTCTATACAAACAACCAGGGCTACACAGCCAGACACTCATCCACTGGGGTCCCACAAGGGTCCATACTTAGACCCCTGTTACTCAGCCTATATATTAATGAACTCCCATCAGTCTGTGACAGTGTAGWTATCATTATATGCKGATGATACTGTCATCTATGTACATGGTAAGAACAGAGATCAAGTTTATTCCAAACTAACAGATGTCTGCCTCCAATTAACTGTTTCTAAAACAGTTGGCATGTATTTTACKAAACGACTAGAAAATACACCTGACCCTGACATATCTTTTTTTGGAGAGAAGATCACATTGCTCAAGCAATTTCAATATCTTGGGATTTTGTTTGATACAAATTGATCATTCAAAGCTCACGTCAAAAAGATAACAAAAATACTTCACAAAAAGCTTCACTTGATTGGAATAAAACAGCAGAAAGCAGAAGAACCAGTGGATCCTTCAAARTATTCTCAAACATCTTAAAATCATGGCTCCTGGATAATCAACTGTGTGGACACTGAGTGTGGGATTCTTTTATTCATTTTGTATTTTAATGTGTTGCCTTGAATTGTTGTGCTAAATGGCTTTTTGTTATTTTTAATCATGCTTTTTGTTTTGTTTTAAGACTTTTTTAATGAAACTAACTTGTTGATTTGTTTGTATTGTATTTATATCCGTAGGACCTTGAGGAATTACAGAAAAAAAAGGCCTCCATGGCTAATTCTGGCATTTTCTGCAATATGCACTGTCCCTTCTTAAATAAATAAACAATAAACCAACCAACCTGTTCAAAGATGGCGTACTTGGCCACCTGGAAATCATCGGGGAACTCCGGGACGTCCTGGTCCAGCTCTGAGTAAATTCTGAGGGAGGAAACCCAACAATAAATCTTTACTTCCTGTTTAGAAACTTTTAATCTGCCAAAGAAAAAAACTTAAAGTTAAAAACATCAAACAATAACTTCAACATCCGACTGATGAAGACGATGTTGTCACCTGAATTCATCTTCATCGTGTTCGTCTTTAATCACAGGTGAGTCTTTGGGATCTGAGACACAAAACAGAATCGTTACAGATCAGAGAGTAAACGTCAGAACCAAGGTTATCATATTTTACATTTTTCATTTTGCTTTAGTTTTATTTAGTTGTGACTTTTTTATTTTAATTCAGTTAGTTTTAATTAGTTTTTACAGTGGATTTGCTG